TCTCCAAGGACCGGTCTCTCCTCACAACATGTCCAAAGTATGTTAGACGGAGCCTCAGAATCCTTGCCTCCAAGGAGCCACCGATGATACAGTGTATAATGTCTCAGGCTGCTAACCAAAAAGTTGACAGTTTGGAACTAGTAGCCCACAGGAGAAAGAAACCTGGACCCCTGTAGAGAGTTGCTGTGAGTGGAATCGACTTGACAGCAGGGATTTTGGTTTTGGAGGGTTTTGGGTGTGAAATATCACCGTCTCCAAGGTCATAAAGAAATTTTACTATATTTTGAAAGTTCATATCCCAGTTCTTAGTATATCTAAATTTGGTTCTTTTTTGTGTGTGGCATTGAGGTAGAGAATTAATGATATTTTTCATTCTTTATAATTAATCATCTCAGCACTATTTAATTCTTTGCACATTGACTTACATAACATCACTGTCATATTCAAATAACTACCTATGAATGATATTAGTCTTTTTTACTGTAGCTCTGCCAATATCAATGCATTTTAATTAGCATAGCTTCATAATAACTCTTTATCTTTGGTAGGACACGTCCTATCACTCTGTTTATTTTCTTTGGGAGTTCCTTAGAAAATCTGTGAATGTTTTACCCATTAAAAAATATGAATAAATATATTTTCAAAATTCAGGAGTATATCTGCCTACTTCCTGACAGTATAACTGATACATGCAGTTGGATTTGAACTAAATTAAGTTAAAAATCAATTAAGATAAAACTGTTTAAATATAGATATATATTTACTTGATTTTGGTTTTAGAAGTATGGTTTCCATTATCATAGTTTTGAAAAAATGGTTAAGAATCACACAGATTTGAATGTTGCTACTTTGGAAAACACAGATTTTTTTTTTTTTTAAGAATGAAAATAAATGTGAATATGCTTATTTAATATAACTATTTTCTCTTTTCTCCCCCAAGTTTTGCTACAACATGGGAGGCATAGTCTTTCCAAAACAGCTTTTCAGGCATCTCTTTCTCCTTGTTCTGTGAACATTCAAGTGCCCAACAGACAGTTTGCTGCTGCTACAAAGTAAGTATTTGGTTTTTAGTCTTTTAGTTATTTTATTTGCTTTTACTTTTTTACTTAAAATTTTGATTAAAAAAATCCATTTTGCATGGTCCTATAATTATATTATTTTTTTTCCTTTCAACTTTAGTTTATTTTGACTCGTAGCAACTTCCATAGGTTTTCTGAGGGTATGAAACTTTACAGGCATAAACCATCTATCTTTCTCTTGAGGAGAAGCTAGTGAATTTGAACTACCAGACTTTTAATTAGCTGTGTAATACATAATACACCATGCTGTCACAGATCACCTTATAAATACACACGCACACACACATGCATGTGTTTGTGGGGTTTTTTCCCCATACATATATATTTTTATATGTATGTATTTGTGCTTATATGTGGTTGATCTGTGCTGTCATGGTGACTGTGACTGTTAGGGCCCCCATGACCCACAGATCGGAACTTTGCACCATCCTTACAATCTCTGCAGTGTTTGAATCCATTATCCCAATCACTCTATTGTTCCATCTTGTTGAATATCTTCCTCTTTTTCTCTGACTCTCCACCTTTTCTAGCATCATGTCTTTTTGCAAGACTGGCCATTCTTTTTTCTGGTTTCTTCAGTGCAGCTTGAACTTCTTCCTTTGTTACATTTGGCAGTTTTTCAGATGGCACGCCCTGAAGTTTTTCAGTGTCAATTCATTCTTTCTGGTATAATGACTCTGTATATTCTTCCATCTTCTTTTCATGCTTCCTGGATTGTTCAAGACTTTGCCCACAGCATCTCTCAGTAATGCAACTTGATACTTAAATTTGTTTTTAATGCCACTATTCTTGAAGCTGATCTCAACATCAAAACAAAAATCCCCTCTACTGGACCCGTTGGCAGCATCGTGATAGACTGAGAAACGAGTGAAACTATCAATGACTTCAAGTAGGAAATCAGGAGACAAAATGCCCTGGGAATGTCTATAGTCAGGAACCTCTTCGAATTATTAAGGAGCGGTGATATCAGTAGGAGGACTCAGGTGTGCCTGATTAAGGCCATGCATGGTCTTTTCAGTTATTTGCTATGATCTCAGAGCTGGGCAGTGAATGACAGAAGAATTGGTGCCTTTGAACTGTGATGCTGGTGAAAAGTACTAAAGATCCCACAGATTGCTAAAAGAACAAACATATGTCTTGGAGAAGATACAGAGTGTTCCTTGGAGGCATAGAAAATGAAGCTTTATTTCGCATACTTTGGGCATGTTGCTAAGAGGTTGTTCCTTGGAGAGGGATGTAATGCTTGGAAAGATGGAGGAACAGTGAAAGAGAGGAAGACCCTCAACTAGTTGGAGTGGCACAGTGACTGCAGTAATAGGCTTGAGTGTGTGAGAGCTTGTGAGGATGGCATAGGATAGGAGAGGGTTCAGATCAGTTGTTCATGGGGTCGCTGAATCATACTTAATAGTACCTAATATCTGCAACAACAATTGTTGAAGCTGAAGAGGTAGCTTAGTGATACTTATTACAAGATGCTTAGAAGCTGTAAAAGTAATGATGTTGTTGTTATGTGCCATCGAGTCACTTGTGACTCATAGTGACCCTATGTACAACAGCCCTAAACTCTGCTCTGTCCTATGCCAGTCACACTGTTTCCGATACACCCATCCTGATTATCCCAGTCACTGAATCAATCCACCTCATAGAGGGCCTTCCCCTCCTGCGCTTCCCGTCCACCCTACCAAGCTTGATGTCCCTCTCCAAAGACCGGTCCCTCCTTACAACATGTCCAAAATATGTTAGACGAAGCCTCAGAATCCTTG